CTGCCTCCGGCCGGCAGCCCTCCCGCGCGCGGAGGCCCGGACAGCGGCCACTCACCGCGGATGCCGCCCTTGTAGCGGTTCTTGATGGCGGCCAGGCTGATGGACTCCTCGCCCTCCTCCTCCTCGTCGTAGCGGTCGGGCTCCAGGTAGCTGGCGCTCAGCCCGCGCTGGTGCTGCTTCTCGCGCATGCGGCGCTGCTGCGACTCGCGGCGGATGGAGGCCCGCAGGCGCTCCTCTTCCTTCTGCGCGGGAGTCCCGGGGTCAGGGGTGGGGGCGAGGCCCGCGCCGGGCCGGGGCGGGAAGGGCGGCCCCCGCGGGCCGCGTCAGGTGAGCCGCGCGGGGCAGAGCCCGCGGCGCACCTTGATCATCTCCGTGCGCTGGCACTCGGGGTCGCGGCCGGCCATCGGCAAGATCCTGATCTTCTGCGTCTTCGAGCACCTATCTGCGAGCGACAGCGTCATCTTCCTGTGCGTGGCGCTGTCCGTGGAGTGCGGCCTGCGGGGGGCGCGGGCGCGGCTCAGCGCTGAGCCTTCACCCAGGCGCCAGCCTCCCCCGCGCCGCACACCCCGGCCTCTCACACCCGTTCCAGTAAGAGAGACGCTGCTGACCGCGCAGCGTCCCCACATGGCAGGTAGTGACAGAGGGACCCACAGAGCCACACGCGGTTAGCAGGTGATCTCTTCAGCCTGGCAACAGGCTGGTCCCCGGAGACGGCCACTGAGCCAGCTGAAAGAGCCGCCAGCGGCCCCACTCCGGGAAGCCGCAGGGACCTGACAGGCCAGCACGCGCTTACCTGAAGGTCAGCTTCGTCTTGAAGACCGCCTGGCCCTGCAGGCCCGTGCCCTGCCTGATGAAGAGGTGGTTGTGGTCGCCCTGCAGCGGGGCCTTGTACACGTCGAAGACCTCATTGCCCAAGTGCAGGGACATGCTGGGGACGGAAGCGCAGTCAGCCGAGGCTGCCGCTGCGCCCCCACCAAGGCCGCGTGACCCAGGCTGCTCCTCTCAGACTCGAGGGGACAACAGGGACGAGAAGCTGGCCAGCAGCACACACCTCTGCCACCGCCCTGAGGACGCCACCCCAAACGCCCGACTGCCAGGCAACGGGGCCTGGCAGCGCCACGCTCTTGGTGTCTCCCCAGTCTGTGCGACCCCACCGAGCCTGCTTCTTTCTCTCACCTTTCTACATAAGCACAGGGAGTAGCTATGGGAATTCTTTTATTTTTCCCCCAGTGCTCAGGACTAAACCCAGTCCCAGCTACTCGGGTGGCTGAGGCCGGAAGACTACTTGAGCCCAGGAATTCGGGGCCAGGCTGGGTGACACAGACCCTAAAGTGGGGAGGCGGCCCCCCGATAAGCTCTTCTTCCACAGCTTGCTCCTTCCCGGGCTCACCTGCCGTCTGACCACTTGACGATCCGAGCGTTGCTTTCCTTAATTTCATTTCCTTCCTCATCCCGGCGTGTCCGCCACCGGATAGTATTTTCTACCTGTGTTGAAACACCAACACCTTACAGCCTTGACGTTTTTCCTTCTCCAGAGACATACTCAGGGTGTACAGCATGACAAAAAAATAAACGCTGAAACCACCTCACTTTAATCACCTAGAATTGCTAAACACAGTCATTAAAAATGGGAAAGAATATGCTTCGGGGATTTCGGAGCTCCCGGTACTCGAGACCCAAGGCAAGCTCAGCCTAAGCCTCCACCTGCTTCTGGGCTGGGACACTCGGACACAGCAAAAGCCCCCAGCCACAGGGGACCGGGACCAGCCCTGATCCTGAGCTCGCAGGGCCCCTTCAGAGCTGAGAGCCTGTGTGAGAGGAGTCCTCTCTCAGCTCAAAACCCCAGAAACTCAGGACAGAAACCCTGCCAGGGCCAGTAAGTCAGGGGCTCCCTGCACCAGTAAGGCTCAGAAGTGTCCCACAGAAATGAGACCGCAGGTTTGGAAAGTTGGGAGCCTCACTACCGGAGCGAGCCGGGTGTGGTGGTGCACACCTGTAATCCCACCACTCGAGAGGCTGAGGCAGGAAGATTGTTGTGAGTTCGAGATCAGCCTGGGCTACAAATGGAGCCCAAAATGGGCTACAAAAAGACAAAAAAAAGGACTCACTACCCGAGCGGCTCAGCAAGGAGACACCATGCGATAGGGAACTGAACGCTCAGCAGGCTTCCAAGGAGACCTGGGTCAGGAGCCACGAGCAGGTCATCAGGGGCATCCTGGAAACCCACCGCAATGACAGCAGGGAACTGAGACAGACAGACACAGAGGCTGGCTGTCAGGCTGCCTTTCCTAGCACTATGAGCATGTATAATACGGGCTGGAAAATCAAGCGTTTACAGGAAACCCTTGGGACGTGCGAATTTAAAGCTCACAGCCCGGCCTCACATCACATCAGTCAGGTGCTCAGGGCCTTTCACTTTCGGGCACAGCTCAGCTCCCGGATGCCTTTAGCTTGCACCCGCTCCCGCAGAAGACCCGCAGCCCCACACGGGGGAGCGGCACCTGCTCTGCAGAGTGCTGGCTACCAAAGAGACGCGTCTCAGTGCACCAGAACCCTGTCCACAGGGACAGCCGAAGGAACACAGGGTGAACTGGCCGTGACGCGAAGCGTTAGGTGCTAGTAATAACTTCTCCCTTTGTATATGATTTGTCTGCACATTAAAGGCCCTGAATTTCCTCTTTAGGAAAGTGCAAATGCTTTACCAACAGCATAGGTGAAGGTAGCTCTAATTACCTAAGTATAGTACTTTTTCTTTTCTGTTTTTTTTTCTTTTGTTTTTTGGTCTTTTGAGACAGGGTCTTGCTGTATAGTTCAGGCTACTCCTAAACTTACTATAGCCCACTTGACTATAACTGTAGAGCTGACTGTCTCCAACTTGCAGCAATCTTCCTGCCTCAGCCTCCTGAGCGCTGGGATTACAGGCATGAGTACCACGCACTCAATTTTTAAAAAGCATCAAAAAATATTAACAGCAAGAAAAATATTACAGAACTGACTTTTTTAATGGAGAAAATATCAGAGAAGTGACATTTTTACAGGTTCCCATTTTCTAATCCGGTGCTACCCCACCATGCTGTGCACATGAAGTTAGGCTCTTAACTGTCACACTTTCTTACAAATTTCTGAACAGGCAGAGAGTTCACTAGGTTAACCGAACAGGAAACATGAACACCACTCTAACACCCAGGTCTCAGGTCAACACCCCAGGTTCTACTTTATCGAGCAGCACGGCGTGGCACGGTACCTTTAATTTTAACCTGGTTCTGCCTTCTTCGTCCAGCATTTCCTCATCTTCAAATTCATCTTCATAGTACTGGGGATCAAAAGGTCTACAAATTGTTTTTAAAGTAGACGGTTATCATACGGTTATGCAATGATGTATCTTATTAACACACACCAGGATATCAGAAAGTTTAAAATCACGATGGCCAGTATCTTCACGCTCAGCTTTGAGAAGTACTCAAGTTACTGCAACTTAAGACATGGTGTTCATAAAGTAGCAGCAAGGCCAAGTATTCAAATATTCTTTATCCTGATTACGCAGTCTTCCCAACAACAGACCGCCTATGTTCTAGCTGTCCAGATCGACATTTAAACCACACACAAGCTGCACGTCAACTTAGTAAACACCTGTGAGCCCTGTTTAATTATGCAAACACTGGCCTGCATCAGCAGCGGCAGACATGGTAGACAGCTGCAGCTTCTGTAGCAAATTTCATCCCTTTCAATTTCAGGGTTTTGTTTTTACGGTACTGGCGATGGAACCACGGGCCTTCACAATGAGCTGCATCCACAGCCATGTTCTTCTTAACTACGTTTTTGAGACGGGGTGTCACTAATTCCCTAAGTTGCTCAGGCTGGGCTTGAACTTGTGTTCCTCCTGCCTCAGCTTCCCAGAGTGCGTGGTGTGTGCCACCATGCCTTGCTAGTTTCAGCTTTTTTAGGGGTCACTGGTTAAAAAGTCTCTTGAAAAGCCAGGTGTGGTGTCACACACCTGTAATTCCAGTTACTTGGGCTGAGGCAAGAGGACCACAAGTCTGAGGTCTGCCCGGAAACTTAGACTGCCTTAAAATAAAATTTAGAAAGGGCTGGGGATGTAGCTCGGTAGCACAGCACTTGCCAGGCATGTGTGAGGCCCTGCACCGGATCCCAGTACCTTACACAAACGTCTTGCAGACTTGCGATTTCTACTAATTCATAAGGAAGGATCACGCCACTAAAAGAGAATCGCAAGTACAAAACGCCTCCTTTACAAGTAATCCACTCTTTTCCTGTCTCAGAATGTTTGTTTTTCAGAGATACACAATAAATTGCCCATTTCTGCTGTTGGCCAACTCTATGAAGCGAGGAGAACGCCCGTGCCTGTCCTCGCGGCACTGGGCAGCACCGGGCCCCTACCTGGGCTCCACGCTGAGGAAGTTGGGCAGCTTGACGAAGTACAGGTCGTTGCCTAAGTCAGTGTTCACTTTGGGAATCTCCACCTCGATCCTGGTCTCGGGCACGGGCTCCTCCTCCTGCTGGTCGGGAGCCAACCCGTTCTCATCCTAGCGGGAGAGGGCGCCGTCTCAGTGCCGCTCCCCAGCTCTCCTGTGTGCGTCCGTCTGCGCCGGCCCGGCGGGGAAGGGGCTCGGGACAGGAGTCACCTCGCGGACACCGAGACAGACGCGGCCGCCCACCCCGCGGGAAGTCACCGCTCCCCAGAGCCGAGCGCGTCCTCCAGAGCTGAGAAACCCATCTGCTCGCCATCTGCGTCCTCGGCCTGGGGAAGGGACGCTCGCTGCTGCCCAGGCAGCAGGGACAGAGCCCGGGCAGCGCACTCACCATGGGCTGTCCCGGGGTGGGGGGCTTGTCCTCCCCGTCACTGCCGGAGGAGATGTCGTCTGCCCCTCCAAACAGGTCCATGGCGCCACTGCCATCTTCCGCGCAGGAGGGGAAACACCCAGTGTCAGCACTGAGAAGCTTCAGAGCCCAGCGACTGCCTCAGCACAACCCTCGGTTCCCGACCAGCACCAGGGCCAAGGCACGAAGGGCCGGCCGTCGGAGCCTGCGAGGAGTGGGGGCAGCACGGGGGCTCCCGCACGCCCAGGCCCCGGCCCCCTCCACGCCTGCGCGGTCCACCCGTGGGCGGCATCCCAGGGACCGCCCAGCGCAACCACGGGACCCTGATGAACCAGCAGACCTCGGGGGCCGCTGGGCGGTAACGGGAGACCGGAGGGGCAGGAGGAAGTGCTCGAAATGAGATTAAAAAGGCACGACTGCAGGGGACGGCGTGGTCGGTACAGGCTGAGAGGGCGGAGGACGGGGGTCAGAGGGGACGGCGGGAAGGAAGGCCGGGCACTCAGAGCTCCGTGACAGTCAGGAGAGCCGCCACCCTCCGTGCTCAGGCGCCCTCCCGCTCGTGACTCCTCCTCCCACCACTGGCGGGCAGAAGCGACGAGGTGTTACCACACAAACACCTTCGCCACAGCCCTTTGTACCTGTGAGCTCGGTGTACACGGCGGCCGGGACTCTCCCAGCAGTGGGACAGAGCTTCACGCTGGATTTCTACCGGGGACCAACTTCACCTAACCCACAGTGTGCACAATCCTTTTTTTTGGTGGGGGGAGACAGGGCCTCGCTGTGTAGTTCAGGTTGGCTCTGAACTTTGTAGCCAGAGTTGCCTCAAATGAATTCACAACAATCCTCCTGCCTCAGCCTCCGGAGTGCTGGGACTACAGGTGTGCCCCACCACAGCTTAATCTGCCAGTTAACTGTTAAGAACGAGGTGCTAAACAACGTGGGATACAACAACCACTGTTAACTCCTATCATTTTGTTCTGAAACCCTGTATCATTTTTAACCTTCTTGCTTTGTTTTGTTTTCCTCTGTGATGTTGGTATGTTGCTATTTTTTTATTTTTACTATTCTCTTCAAAATAAAAAATAAAGATAAAAAAGGAACGAGGTGCTCTGTGACCTCTGGGGCAGTCCCGAGTCAAGCTGCAGAACAGTCAAGCTTCCGCCCCACCTGAAGCTCAGCCCCCAGTGGGGCTGCATTCTAGCCAAAAAAGGAAGCTAGGAGGCCTCACCCCCCTCTCCAGCCCTACAGTGGGGGAGCGCCCCAGGCAAGGAATGCGCCTCAGCTCAGGCAGAAGGCGGTGGCCTGGAAGGCGACAGGTACCTTTGGGCAGCTCGGCATCGCTGTCTGCTTCGGAATCCGAGGCAATTGCGTTCTTGCGTTTCATCCGCAAGACTTCATCTTCACTATCGCTGCCTCTTGCAGACTCTAGAAAGCAGAGTTAGAAGTTGTGCATGGTCACAGCTGCATCACTAACTATATGCACAGACCAGACAAAATAAAGGCTGGGGTACAGGCACTGGCTGAGCATGCGCAAGACCCTCCGTCTGCGCGGCAGGGCCTCACCCATCCCCTCTCCTCCGTGGGGGGCACAGCGTGCCTGTCACGGGCCAACAACCACCCAGCACGCTCCTGTCTCCCAGCGTCACACACCCGGGCAGCCTCCGGACTATTCGGCCCGCTGCAGACTCAGCCCCGGGAAAGCACAGGGACTGGCAAGAAGAGACAGAGCACTGTGCGATTCAATGATACGCATTCGTCTCCTGAGAATGCGGTCAGTTTTCCTGGGCGCCTGATCACCTCTGGATGCAGACGCCACACTGGACACAACGCCCGCATCTGAGGCACCTCAGGGAGCTGTGTCTCCCTCCAGGAAGGGCTATTCTCATGAACTGCAAGCTGTGCTTCTCTAGGTAGCTGTGGAAATGGAACCAACTCAAGTCTTTACCCAGCACCTCTAGCACCACACAGCTCTCTAAAACTGCTGTCTTTCCTTGTTTCCCTCTGACCTATCATGAGCTGACAAATGGAAAAGGAAGTGATAACAGGAGTGCTGTGGTTTAGATCTAGATGTTCCCACGAACTTCATGTGCTCACAGGCAGGGCTTCTGGGAGGTGGCTGGACTATGGGCTGACAGCCAACTTACTATCAGGAGGCAGGGCATGGTGGGAGGAGGGGATGCCTGGGAGTGTGGCCAGGAAGAGTCTATCTTCCTCTCCAGCTCCTTCCTTAATCTCTGTATGCTTCCTGTCCACCAGGCCAGGAGCCCTTCTCCTCGGCCACACCGCTCTACCATGCTGTCCTGCTCTGCAGTCAGACAACCATGAACTGAACCCTCTGCACTGTGAGCCAAAGTAAACCTCTCCTCCTTCAGCTGAGGGTGTCAGGAATTTCTCAGCAAGGAGAAGGTGATTCAGACAAGCTGGACTGAAAAGCAGCGAAATGAGTAGTTAGAAAAGGTGCAAGCCAGGCGTGGTGATGCACGCTTGGAATCTCAGCACTCAGGAGGCTGAGGCAGGAGGATTGCTGCGAGTTCGAGACCAGCCTGGGCTAGAAAGTGAGCTCAAGGCCAGCCTGAACTGCATAGCGAGACCCTGTCTCAAAAAGACAAGACAAAAAAAAAAAAGAAAAGGTGCAACTGGAGATATGGGAGAGAAGATAAAGGGAAGAGCCCAGGCCAAGACCGGGTCCTGATGCCCGGCCCGAGCCAGCCAGCTCCCGGAGCCTACCTGACTTGTGCTCCTGCTCCTCCTCGTCGTCTGACGGCCTGTGGTCCTCATCCGAGGCCGGCCGCTCATCATCAGAGTTCTGTGCTTTGTCCTCATCGGACCCCTGTGGCCGCTCGTCCTCGTCGGAGTTCTGCTTCTCGTCCTCGTTGTCGGACGCCACTGGCTGCTCCTCGTCCGAGTTGGCCTTCTCCTCCTCGGACAGCGGCGGCTGCTCGTCGTCGGACAGCGCAGGCCGGTCTTCGTCGTCCGAGTTCTGCATCTTCTCGTCCTCGTCTGAGTTGGGCAGCTTGTCCTCGTCGGACGCCTGGGCCTGCTCCTCCTCGTCCGAGTTCTGCATCTTCTCGTCGTCAGACTGGTCGCTCTTGTCCTCTCCGCCCCACTTGTCGTCGTCGGACTGCGCCTTCTCCGAGCCGTCTGCCTCTGAGCGGTGGCTCCCACCGTCAGACCTGTGGCCGTCGTCCTCGTCCTCGTGCTGGGCGTCCGAGCCGCTGTGCTGGTCCACGTCCGAGCCGTCGTTGTCCTCGCGGTCGGAGCGCTCGGAGGCCTCCGATCTGTTGTCGGAGCGCTCAGACGCATTCTCGCTGCCGCTGTGGCGCGACGCCGCCTCGTCCTCGCTGTCCTCACCGAAGAGCTCCTTGTTACTCGGCTGCCCCAAGTCGCCCGCATCGTCCTGGTCACTTTCACTTCCAGAGGCGTTGCTGCCGGACGGCGCGTTCTCCTGGTCGGAGTCCAAGTCGGATCCGGAGTCAGAATCTGTGGGTCACACAACAAGGGGTGAGGTCGGTGACGGGAGCAGCGTGAGCAGCTGCAGAGGGGCAGGGGCACCGGCGGGAGGAGGCGGGGTTGGCAGAAACCGCCCGGAGCTGCAGACTCAAACCTGCAGAGCCCGCACGCTCGGTGGACCTCGGAGAGAAACAGAGCTCCTGCCGGCTCAGCTCCCCAGCCACCCTGACTCCCGGCTCGAAGCGCCCGGGAAGACAGCGCCGTTTTGGCCACAGGGCCACTGTGCAACAGCTGGGCAGGCCCCAGTCTCAAACAGACGTTAGCTTTTCGCCTGTTTCCTGTACTGGGGATGGAACCCAGGGCCTTCACACTGCATCCCGGCCCCCGGGGCCTCACACTGCATCCCGGCCCCCGGGGCCTTCACACTGCATCCCGGCCC